GTTCAGTTCTAGTTCAGTTCTAGTTCAGTGCTAGTTCAGTTCTAGTTCAGTTCTAGTTCAGTTCTAGTTCAGTTCTAGTTCAGTTCTAGTTCAGTTCTAGTTCAGTTCTAGTTCAGTTCTAGTTCAGTTCTAGTTTCAGTTTCTAGTTCAGTTCTAGTTCAGTTCTAGTTCAGTTCTAGTTCAGTTCTAGTTCAGTTCTAGTTCAGTTCTAGTTCAGTTCTAGTTCAGTTCTAGTTCAGTTCTAGTTCAGTTCTAGTTCAGTTCTTTTTTTCTTCTTATAGTAAAGATTTCCGTCCGCAAATCATCTTTTACAAAAATGCACATTTTATGAATAATTTTCGCTAAATTTGTTATTTTTGTGTATAATTTTCAATGACTTAAGTTTTAAAGTTTATATTTTTAGAATCAGATTTTTAACACTTTTAATAAAGTGTAAATGAGGAAACAATAGTCTGTTAAAAGTTTTAAAACAATAAAAACACACTTAAATCGAATTGTTGAATTATGGCGAATAAAATGTTTGCTTAAATTTATAAAAGGACAAACCAGTCAGGCTGGCAGTTAAACAGACAGACAAACAAATGAAATGGAGTTTGGTTAGAAGAAAAATAAACACTCAACTGTCACAGTCAAGGAAAACACACTAATGCCGAGAAAAAGTATCCGCTCTTGAGGGTTGTCAGACAAACAGAGTGACTAGTAGTAACAGAAAATGCTAAAAGGTTTATTATGTTGAAAATTTGGTAAAAAAAAACACAAAAAAAGAGAAAATAGAGTTCTTGGGAAACAAAGGGATTGTTTTACGATTATTTGGTTTTGTTGTTTTCCAAAAAAAGGATGAGGTTTTTAAAATAGAAATCTAATAGAAAAAAAAAAAAAAAAAAAACAGGAACAAAACGTAAGCACATAGAACGAAATGGAAATACATAAAAATACATACAAATTTGACACAAGTATGTATGCATACACTCGTGTGTATTTTATGTATCAATATGTATATTTTATGATTTTTTTTCCACATTTCCTTAGTTCTGGTATAAGAAATTATTTGTTAAATTATTCAAGCCAGAGCAGAGATGTGAAAGGATAAAAAACACAATGACAAAAAATCAAATAAAAATAATAATAAAATTTCACATATTATGTACATGTCATATTCATTATTTTAAAATATTTATAATTTTTTTTATATATTGTTGTTGTCATTGTAGCAACAAAGCAATAACGTAAATACTTTTGTACATTTTTTCCATTTTTTACAGGATGCACAGAGTTCAAAAGTGCAAGCGTATGAGTGAAAAAAAAAAATAAATTAAGCTTCACACGTTTATAGAACTGTTCGTATGTATGTATCTGTGTAATATACTATGTATAAATGTAGACATAGTGCAGAATGTGTCATAAATGAAAAATCATACAGTTAAAGTTTTTTGTTTTTATTTTTTACTACTACAGTTATGCACATGTAATATTTACATTTTACATTACATACCTCTATACAAATAAATGTATCTGTTAGTGTATGTATATAGTTTTTTTTTTTGTTGCATATGCAACACTTTGCATTTTGTATGAAATTGAACAACACACATGTATTCGCATAAAATGAGAAAAAGGCAAATATAAATGTAGATATTTTATTGTAAAAAATGTACATACAAATATACAAATGTATACACAATATATGTATGTATGCATACATTCAAAATACATACATATGAATAAAATAATAAAAAGGTCAGTAAAGTGCAGCAGGAAGTAGTGTCGCATTCATATTCATAAATCATTTGGAAAATTGATGCAGCAGCAATAACATTGCTGCCAACAACAGTTAAATTGTAGAAATATAGTTATACCTTGCTACAAATATATTCATATTTACATACACATATGTGGAGGGGTAAATTAAGATGGCGTTCAAAAAAGTTTGTTTTCAAAGTTTTTAATTAAAAAAAATCATTACTTTGTGTTGAGTATTTACGTCCAATGAAAAGTATGGATCACATAAGATTTCCAATTAGACATTACTGAAAGCTTTCTGCAGAGTACATTTAAAAGCTTTTCAGAGACTTTTTGCCATAATTACATAAAATGCAGGTGAAGTCACTTAAAGCCGGTTTATTTATATCCCAACTTTTCTTAAAACAAGGCAGTAAGGTCTGTTTAAACTCTATACCGGGGGTCATTTACATATATAGGGGCCAGGTGAGATCGTGAACCGATCTTGCCCATTTTCAATACCAACAATAAGAAGTATTTGTGGAATATTTCAGCCCTCTAGTTTTTTTCCGTTCAGACTCTACCGTGTTTTCAACAGAAAGACAGACATGGCTGGATCGTATTAGTATCTAATGAGGACCAAGAATATATATACTTCTCTGAGCCTTAAACCAATATATCGATGTGTTACAAACTTAATGATACAAAATATATCACCCATCTTAATGGTGGGTTTAAAAACCTATTATTCTCGTAAACTCAATCGCTCGTAGTAGTTCATACTTGAGTCAATAGACTCGTCGATAGGCTTGTGTACTGCAAAAGCCCAACCTTAAACTAGACCATGGACTATTTAAGAAACTATTCAATAGTTTAGTCAATAGTCTAGTTAATATGTGAAATGTTCTAAAGGTGAAATTTTAATATGATATGGTCAATTCCATAATATCGTACATGACATTTGAACACCTAATGAGTGGCACTTTGAAAGCACAAGAAGATGCCTCTTCTTGACCAGTTACAGCTTAGCCTTGTCCCATTAAGTTCTTCGAGTGCAAACCTTACGATTATTAAACTCGTGCTGAACTTTCTCTCTCTCTCTCTCTCTCTCTCTCTCTCTCTCTCTAGAGATCTTAATATTGGTTGTTTGCCTTTAGAAGTGATTGCTGAGTCCAATAAATTACTACTGATCACATCCTCCATCTAAATGTATTTGTCTATTCGAATTTTGACGTGGGGTTTCCTATGTAGTACTCTACTCTTTCCTTTTCAGTGCCTAGTTTATTCTTCCGCATTTAGACATCCTTTCTTTTGAGAAAGTTATCGCTTGTTTTTGGAAAAGGGGAAATATTTTTCACCCTGCGTCTGTTCTTAGTGTTCGGGAGATCTGGTTGTTTTTGCCTGCCTGGTTGGTTTTTGCCTGCCTACGATATATTCATATTCTTCAGAGTGTCTTCAAATTGACTTTTATGATCTTCTGAAGAAGTAATCTCGATGGGTCGCAATCTTATTTACCTCTTCTACCATATGTTCTACTTTACCATAGTTGGATCTGTTCTTAAAAGGCTTGAGATCTGGTTATTTTTGCCTGCCTCCGTGATTGAGAGGTAATCCAATATATTCTTCAGAGTGTCTTCTGATTGAAATAATATGATCTTGTGAAGAAGTAATGTCGATGGGTCACTATCTTATTTAACTCTTCTACCATTTGTTCTATTTCACCATAGTTGGCATTAGGTCTGATAGTGTTATTATCACATGAGGGATCAGAGACTGAAGTTCAAACTCTGAGCCCTGATTTTTCTCGAAAACCCAATTCAATTCACCTTTGTGAGAGTAGATAGCAGTGTCGATTTATCCATTTCCATCTGTCTGTCTATCCTTTTGTATGTTGAAATTAGTTTTCAGCAGACCCCAGATATTTGCGAGATCCGAATTTTCAATAAGTCGTTCCGACATACTTTTAGAAAAACTTGTACCAAAATGAACAGTCCATGTAAATATTACGTTTTTTTCATTCTTGATTAGTTTTTTCAGAAACTATAGCAATTTTTTTCAACAAATTTTGTCACAAGTCTTTTTTTCCAATCGGAGACTAAATCGGTTAAAAATTTCACATAGCTCCCATACAAATTTACATACCGACGGAAAATGGATCTATTGTTAACAACTTCATCTAGAATATCGTTATTACCGTAACATTTTCCACGTATAAATCTAATATCAATAGAATCCACAACAACATTTTTTACTAAAATTTATTACTAAAAACTAATTTTCACTAAAAATCAAATTTCTTATCAAGTATTCAATTTTTTACCAAAATACAACTTTTTACTATGAATCCAATTTTTTGGCTTAAAATCCATTATAAGTGTGACGCCCTAATATAAAAACGTGAGCTTTACATCTAAAAATACATACATACATATGTGGATGTGAATGACATTGTATCGTATGTGTATACGCCTTTTTCCACTAAGTGCAACAACATCGATGCAACAAAACTTTTACGTGTCATAACACAATGAGACAAAAAAATCGAGTACTCATTTTTAACAGGAATAAAAGAAAAATAATATGAACAATCATCATTTATTTGTACACTGGAAAAAAATCTTGGAGATATTTTACATGTTTACATTACGAAGTAATAGTAGAAGGAAGAAGTTGTACCAGTGCAGCATTCGAAGCACCTACAGAAAAAAGTTTGACTCTAACTCTAGATTTTGATAGTGTATAGTCATACATGCTATGTTACTCATAGACATTTGGCTAGAGTTTTCTTACTGCATAATGTTAGCGTTATTTTTGATTTTTATCTAGGGTTTAACTAATTGTCACATGTCCAGCACACAATTTTTGTTACAAACTCACTTATACGTACATATATACATATTTATATGCATACACCCATATAACTTTATATGCACACACAAATGTATAAATATTTATTTTTAAATATTATCCCCATTAGAAATTTTACCTCCCCGCTTTAAATTGAACTTCTGTCATATAACATAAACCTGCCCTGACATTCTCATATACATATATACTATTTGCCAAAAGAAATCACGACAGTACAAAACCGGTTGTGGACATTTTTTTTCGTAAACATAACATTTCAATTTCGATTGACAACCCCTGCTGTTGTCCACCTTAAAATTGACCAAATGTTGTGGCAAAAAATCACAGAGTTTAAATTTAAAAATCAGCATGGATAAGTGCAATTTTTAATTAAATTTAATGTGTTTTTAAATATATTTATGCCAACATTTTAGAAAATATAGAAAAACTGACCGTGTAATTTAATAATTAAATTACCGTAAACTGGAAATTAACTGTCGTACATCAATAAAACAACTGCAGCAACATGATATTCCTGATGACAGTTATCAAAGTGCTGCTTATAGCACTAAATATATTCCCCAGTCGCTTTACAAATCGGAAGGTGATGTTTTTGATTTATCTAACAAATTTGGTAACGCATGGTAAGTACAATTTCTAAATTTATTCAAATATTCTTAATTAACTGACTGCATTTGATCTTAACTGACTCACATATAAGGTTCACACGACAACGCTTATGGATCTTCAATGAATATCAGTATTCTGACAAAGTTTTAGATTGAAATATTACACTGTGCAACAGTAATTTTCACACATGAAAAAATTATTAACTCTGTGTATGTAATATGGACTTTTATGTTTTCAATCAAATATACGGTTTTTAATGGGAAATTAAAGCGATCACAGATTTTCTTTCTTTTTGCCCTAGCGCCTTTAGTTTAGCCAGAAAATTGACTTTTATATTTTCACTCAAAATTTCGGTTTTTGGTGGAAACTAAAGTGATCACAGATTTTCTTTGTTTTTGTCCTAGGGCCTTTAGTTTAGCCAGAAAATGGACTTTTATGTTTTCACTCAAAAATTCGGATTATGGTGGGAAACTAAAGAGCTCACAGATTTTCTTTGTTTTTGCCCTAGCGCCTTTAGTTTAGCCAGAAAATGGACTTTTATGTTTTCACTCAAAAATTCGGATTTTGTTGGGAAATTAAAGTGATCACAGATTTTCTTTGTTTTTCCCCTAGCGCCTTTAGTTTAGCCAAAAAATGGACTTTTATGTTTTCACTCAAAATTTCGGTTTTTGGTGGGAAACTAAAGTGATCACAGATTTTCTTTGTTTTTGCCCTAGGGCCTTTAGTTTAGCCAGAAAATGGACTTTTATGTTTTCACTCAAAAATTCGGATTTTGTTGGGAAATTAAAGTGATCACAGATTTTCTTTGTTTTTCCCCTAGCGCCTTTAGTTTAGCCAGAAAATGGACTTTTATGTTTTCACTCAAAAATTCGGTTTTTGATGGGAAATTAAAGTGTTCACAGATTTTCTTTGTTTTTGCCCTAGCGCCTTTAGTCTAGCAAGAAAATGGACTTTTATGTTTTCGCTCAAAAATTCAAATTTTGTTGAAAAATTATAGTGATCACAGATTTTCTTTGTTTTTGCCCTAGGGCCTTTAGTTTAGCCAGAAAATAGACTTTTATGTTTTCACTCAAAAATTCGGATTTTGTTGGGAAATTAAAGTGATCACAGATTTTCTTTCTTTTTGCCCTAGGGCCTTTAGTTTAGCCAGAAAATGGACTTTTATGTTTTCACTAAAAAATTCGGTTTTTGGTGTGAAATTAGTGATCACAGATTTTCTTTGCTTTTGCCCTAGAGCCTTTAGTTTAGCCAGAAAATGTACTTTTATGTTTTCACTCAAAAATTCGGATTTTGGTAGGAGACTAAAGTGATCACAGATTTTCTTTCTTTTTGCCCTAGGGCCTTTAGTTTAGCCAGAAAATGGACTTTTATGTTTTCACTCAAAAATTCGGTTTTTGATGGGAAATTAAAGTGATCACAGATTTTCTTTGTTTTTGTCCTAGCGCCTTTAGTTTAGCCAGAAAATGGACTTTTATGTTTTCACTCAAAAATTCAAATTTTGTTGAGAAATTAAAGTGATCACAGATTTTCTTTGTTTTTGACCTAGCGCCTTTAGTTTAGCCAGAAAATGGACTTTTATGTTATCACTCAAAAATTCGAATTTTGTTGAGAAATTAAAGTGATCACAGATTTTCTTTGCTTTTGCCCTAGTGCCTTTAGTTTAGCCAGAAAATGTACTTTTATGTTTTCACTCAAAAATTCGGATTTTGGTAGGAAACTAAAGTGATCACAGATTTTCTTTCTTTTTGCCCTAGGGCCTTTAGTTTAGCCAGAAAATGGACTCTTATGTTTTCACTAAAAAATTCGGTTTTTGGTGTGAAATTAGTGATCACAGATTTTCTTTATTTTTTCCCTAGCGCCTTTAGTTTAGCCAGAAAATGGACATTTATGTTTTCACTCAAAAATTCGGATTTTGTTGGGAAATTAAAGTGATCACAGATTTTCTTTGTTTTTGCCCTAGGGCCTTTAGTTTAGCCAGAAAATGGACTTTTATGTTTTCACTCAAAAATTCGGTTTTTGATGGGAAATTCAAGTGATCACAGATTTTCTTTATTTTTGCCCTAGTGCCTTTAGTTTAGCCAGAAAATGGACTTTTATGTTTTCGCTCAAAAATTAAAATTTTGTTGAAAAATTATAGTGATCACAGATTTTCTTTGTTTTTGCCCTAGGGCCTTTAGTTTAGCCAGAAAATGGACTTTTATGTTTTCACTCAAAAATTCGGATTTTGTTGGGAAATTAAAGTGATCACAGATTTTCTTTATTTTTGCCCTAGCGCCTTTAGTTTAGAAAGAAAATGGACTTTTATGTTTTCGCCCAAAAATTCAAATTTTGTTGAAAAATTATATTGATCACAGATTTTCTTTGTTTTTGCCCTAGGGCCTTTAGTTTAGAAAGAAAATGGACTTTTATGTTTTCACTCAAAAATTCGGATTTTGTTGGGAAATTAAAGTGATCACAGTTTTTCTTTGTTTTTGCCCTAGCGCCTTTAGTTTTGCCCTAGGGCCTTTAGTTTAGCCAGAAAATGGACTTTTATGTTTTCACTCAAAAATTCGGATTTTGTTGGGAAATTAAAGTGATCACAGATTTTCTTTATTTTTGCCCTAGGGCTTTTAGTTTAGAAAGAAAATGGACTTTTATGTTTTCACTCAAAAATTCGGATTTTGATGGGAAATTAAAGTGATCACAGATTTTCTTTATTTTTGCCCTAGCGCCTTTAGTTTAGCGAGAAAATGGACTTTTATGTTTTCACTCAAAATTTCGGTTTTTGGTGGGAAATTAAAGTGATCACAGATTTTCTTTGTTTTTGCCCTAGGGCCTTTAGTTTAGCCAGAAAATGGACTTTCATGTTTTCATTCAAAAATTCGGTTTTTGGTGAGAATTTAAAAAGATCACAGATTTTCTTTAGTTTTGCCCAGGGCCTTTAGTTTAGCCAGAAAATGGACTTTTATGTTTTCACTCGAAAATTCGGTTTTCGTTGAGAATTTAAAGTGATCAGAGATTTTCTTTATTTTTGCCCTAGGGCCTTTAGTTTAGCCAGAAAATGGACTTTTATGTTTTCGCTCAAAAATTCAAATTTTGTTGAAAAATTATAGTGATCACAGATTTTCTTTATTTTTGCCCAGGGCCTTTAGTTTAGCCAGAAAATGGACTTTTATGTTTTCAATCAAAAATTCGGTTTTTGATGGGAAATTAAAGTGATCACAGATTTTCTTTATTTTTGCCCTAGGGCCTTTAGTTTAGCCAGAAAATGGACTTTTATGTTTTCGCTCAAAAATTCAAATTTTGTTGAAAAATTATAGTGATCACAGATTTTCTTTATTTTTGCCCAGGGCCTTTAGTTTAGCCAGAAAATGGACTTTTATGTTTTCAATCAAAAATTCGGTTTTTGATGGGAAATTAAAGTGATCACAGATTTTCTTTATTTTTGCCCTAGCGCCTTTAGTTTAGCCAGAAAATGGACTTTTATGTTTTCACTCAAAAATTCGGTTTTTGATGGGAAATTAAAGTGATCACAGATTTTCTTTATTTTTGCCCAGGGCCTTTAGTTTAGCCAGAAAATGGACTTTTATGTTTTCACTCGAAAATTCGGTTTTCGTTGAGAATTTAAAGTGATCATAGATTTTCTTTATTTTTGCCCTAGGGCCTTTAGTTTAGCCAGAAAATGGACTTTTATGTTTTCACTCAAAAATTCGGTTTTTGATGGGAAATTAAAGTGATCACAGATTTTCTTTATTTTTGCCCTAGCGCCTTTAGTTTAGCCAGAAAATGGACTTTTATGTTTTCGCTCAAAAATTCAAATTTTGTTGAAAAATTATAGTGATCACAGATTTTCTTTATTTTTGCCCAGGGCCTTTAGTTTAGCCAGAAAATGGACTTTTATGTTTTCAATCAAAAATTCGGTTTTTGATGGGAAATTAAAGTGATCACAGATTTTCTTTATTTTTGCCCTAGCGCCTTTAGTTTAGCCAGAAAATGGACTTTTATGTTTTCACTCAAAAATTCGGTTTTTGATGGGAAATTAAAGTGATCACAGATTTTCTTTATTTTTGCCCTAGCGCCTTTAGTTTAGCCAGAAAATGGACTTTTATGTTTTCACTCAAAAATTCGGTTTTTGATGGGAAATTAAAGTGATCACAGATTTTCTTTATTTTTGCCCTAGCGCCTTTAGTTTAGCCAGAAAATGGACTTTTATGTTTTCACTCAAAAATTCGGTTTTTGATGGGAAATTAAAGTGATCACAGATTTTCTTTATTTTTGCCCTAGCGCCTTTAGTTTAGCCAGAAAATGGACTTTTATGTTTTCGCCCAAAAATTCAAATTTTGTTGAAAAATTATATTGATCACAGATTTTCTTTATTTTTGTCCTAGGGCCTTTAGTTTAGCCAGAAAATGGACTTTTATGTTTTCACTCAAAAATTCGGATTTTGTTGGGAAATTAAAGTGATCACAGATTTTCTTTATTTTTGCCCTAGGGCCTTTAGTTTAGCCAGAAAATTGACTTTTATGTTTTCGCTCAAAAATTAAAATTTTGTTGAAAAATTATAGTGATCACAGATTTTCTTTATTTTTGCCCTAGGGCCTTTAGTTTAGCGAGAAACCAGAAAATGGACTTTTATGTTTACACTCAAAAATTCGGATTTTGTTGGGAAATTAAAGTGATCACAGATTTTCTTTATTTTTGCCCTAGGGCCTTTAGTTTAGCCAGAAAATGGACTTTTATGTTTTCACTCAAAAATTCGGATTTTGTTGGGAAATTAAAGTGATCACAGATTTTCTTTGTTTTTGCCCTAGGGCCTTTAGTTTAGCCAGAAAATGGACTTTTATGTTTTCACTCAAAAATTCGGATTTTGTTGGGAAATTAAAGTGATCACAGATTTTCTTTAGTTTTGCCCTAGGGCCTTTAGTTTAGCCAGAAAATGGACTTTTATGTTTTCGCTCAAAAATTCAAATTTTGTTGAAAAATTATAGTGATCACAGATTTTCTTTATTTTTGCCCAGGGCCTTTAGTGTAGCCA